GGGGAAGAGATGGTGGGCGGACTGGTGGGTTTCAGTGGCAGAGGGTGGAGAGGAACGGGCTGCAGCTCAGACCCAGGTCCCCGCCATGAGGTCCACAAGGCAGGAGAGAAACAGCCACCACTCCCCTTCCACTGTCTCACCCCCTTCTCCTTCCTTCTCACCAGGATGAAGCCCAGAACAACAGCGGCATCCTCTACGCCTCCCTCACTCTCTCCAGCTCCTCATCACTGGCAGCATCTCCCTGCATCCCTCCCAAGGAGAGGCCCCAGGAGGAGACCCTATACTCTCTCATAAAGGCCTGATGAGTGGGACTGAAGGATGACCTCCTTAGACTAAGCAGCCTGGTAGGTCACAGCTTCTGATAATGACCCCAGCCAGACAGAGAAGACTCAGAAGCCAGTGGGTGTGGAAGGCCACTAAGGACCACAGAAAAACAGAGCCATCTGCTCCAACTCCCTCTCCGCCTTCCCAGCCCTTGCCCACAAGAATGAAAGTTACCTAGAATTTGTCCCAAGGCATCTAAGGAGAAAACTGATGGCACCTTCCACTTCTGTCTTTTCCTTCTCGCCAAAAATGAACTATAATAAAGAGCTCACACCCGAGATCCCTCCCCGAGTCCTGGAGTTCGGTGACTGCGTGGGGGGTGGGGGCACAGTAAACCCAGAACGCTGGTAGCCAGCCCAGAACCCAGGGTCTGCCCCTCCTCTACCCATTCTCCTTCCCCTCGGATCAGAATGAGCATGTGTCAAGTGCACCACCTCGTTTTAGGATCTCCAACAATCTGAGCCGGGACTGGACGCACTCACCTTCCGGATGGCCTTCTCCCAGGACTTGGGTGTCCCCACCTTCCCAGATCCCTATACTGTGCCGGCCTCCCGTGGAAACAGGGACGTGCTACAGGGAGCGGAGGGGAGGGAGGGAAGCCCAAGGGAAGCATGTGGTTAGAGACCAACTACGGAAAGCCGTAACCTGTTTTATTAACACGGAAACTGCACAGCTGGGACTTCAGCCAGGTGACTTGTAGCCGATGAACAAGCCCCACACTTAGCAGCCTCTCAGGGACCCTCTGAGGGGCTCTCCCCGCTGCTGGCAGGGAAGGGAGTGAGAGAGCAGCAGGGAGGCAGGTGCACACAGCTATTCCTCGAAGAAGGCCAACGTGAACTCCCCAGGGTCATCTCCACACTGCGGCCCCTCCAGTCGCTCCAGCTCTTTTCCAGCATCTTCCAGGAGTTGCTCCAGGTCCAGGTCACTGGAGGTGTCATCATCAGGGGGGACACTTCCAGCCTTCTTTCCCCCCCAGGGGACAGACCCCATGATGAGCTGGTAGGGTCAGGCCCTTGGGCACCATTCTAGCTTCTTTGTCCTCAGACAAGCTGGTTCCTGTGGCTTTGCTTTGGGGAGCTTCTTGTTATCCAGTCTGTTATGTTTTTCTCTCTCCTACGGCTTTGACACATCAGCTCTTATCCCACCCTGGGATCTGGGCCCCAAAGCCCTCTCTGGCAAGACACCTGAAGCTTCCTGTAGGAAGAGGTGAACAGGGAGGGCTCTGAGTAATACCCTTGTGTTTGCAGAGTGGACAAGATACTGGAACTTCAAGGCTGGGCAGGGACTGAAGTCCTGGGCAAGGAGTCAGAGCTGGGCCACAGGGAACAGATGCCCAGAGAAATCAGGAAGTGTTTATTACATGGCGTTCACAGACAAAATACCAAGCTCTGAAGCATTCACAGAAGCATTTTTCTTAGTTTCTGCTCTCAAGGGGCACAGTGGGGAGGGGACATTTCCAGAAATAATGACCAACACCGGTCATATTTAATGCTAAGTGAATAATACAGAGGGGCGCCTGGGTGGCTCAGATGGTTGAGCGTCTGCCTTCGGCTCAGGTCGTGATCCCGGGGTCCTGGGATCGAGTCCCGCATCGGGCTCCCTGCTCGGCGGGGAGCCTGCTTCTCCCTCTACCTCTGCCTCTCTCTCTCTCTCTCTCTCTCTAAGTCTCATGAATGAATAAATAAAACATTAAAAAAAAAGAATAATACAGAGCATGCATTACAAGAGTTTAAAGTAGGGGTGGAAAATTCAGAGGAGGCTTTTCTGTAGGAGATGAGCTGAGCTGAGCCTGGATGATTGGAATGGTACAGAAGAGGGAGGAGGGCAGGCCTGTGGGAGAAGGAGGCAGGCGGGTCTGGCAGGCAGCAGGCAGTCCCAGCAGAGCTGAAGCAGTTTGTCTTCGGATTGGGAGAGAAAGTTCGTGTTATTTGCAGGCAATGTGGAGCCCCTGCATATTTGTGAGTAGAAGCATCTAACCATATGGGTCAAGTTTTCCCAAGAGGTTACATAAAAGGGAAGCTGGAAGAAACTTCTAAAAGTACAATCATTCTGGGCCCCACCCTCTACGGCTGGTTTCCCACAGTTCCCCGTGGCCTTTCCAATGGGTCATTTCCACCAGTGTTTGTATCCACCCAGGACTCCTCCTGTTGCAACTGAAAGCAGAAGGCAGCTTAGGCAGCAAAGCGGGGGCTTAGTCCAGGTGACGAAGGAAGAATGCGGGGTGGGTCTGGCTTTCAGAGCGCAAACTTGTCTGTCTCGGGATCTGTTTCTCTTAATTGCTCATTTCTGCCCCCTACTGTTCAGCTTCAGCCTCAGCCTCCACTGGACCCCAGAGCCCATGGGCTCTTCCCAGAAGGTGGCAAATAACTAACTTCTCCTCTCACGTCAATTTTTAAAGTTTTTATTTAAATTCCAGTTAGCTAACATACAGGGTAGTATTGGTTTCAGGTGTGCACATCGTGATATATGTAACTATAGTGATTCAACACTTCCGTACATCTCCCATGTCAGTCTTTCAGGAAAGAACTAGACTTTTTCCCACTAGCTCCAACAAAACCCCTAAGATGGCCAAGCCTTGACTAACTTAGGTGACCTGCCCATCCTGGGGACAATCAGTGTGGCCAAAGAGATGTGTTACTCTAGATGACCAGACCTGAGTCGTGGGCAGAGGACCATGTTCTGGAAAGTAAGTCAGGACTGGAGTTTTATTTGTACAAGTTGAAAGTGCATAGTTCTAAATAACCCCCATCCGCTCCTTTTTCATCCTCCCTACAGCCCTGAAGCTGTTGGATCTACACTCCACATTATCAGATGGGGCCCCTGATGGCCCCGGAGACCACTCAGGGCACAGTGCTGCATTGGTGGGCCCACAGCTGGCCCCTGTACTCGCTCCACACACCAGTAACCTCCCTGCACTCTGTGGTCCAGGAGCTAGAAAACCTGGCCAAGGGCCCCCACACCATGGTAGTTCTGAGGCTGGGTCCCCATATTGCCACCTTCACTCCATTTATCTTTATCTGGTGACTGGCAGGGATCTGGGCAGCTATGGCTGAACTGTTGGCCTGGAACTCTGCACTCTGTGGTCATCAAACTGGCCAACACCAACTACAAGTCTCTGCGTGGCAGCTACTGGTTCACCCTCTAGGTGAACCGGTTCCTCTGAGCTGCCTTTGGTGGACACCAGGGAAATAACCCCCGGTCAGGCCCTGCCCCATGGCATCCACCCAGGGTGGTTCATCATCTGCAACAAGGTGGACTTGCTCCTTTCCTTCATCTGCCCCACCTGAGTGCTTCTGCGGTCCTGGGACTGTGTGATGGAGGGCCTGGGACACAGCTGTGAACAGGACCAGTGCCATAATAGGATTTCTAGGGTAAGAGCAGGTGCCACTGACTTCTCTCGCCTGGAAGACCACGAGAGCTTCCGAACCAGTCCAGCCGATTCTATTCTTGCCCCACTCTGACCACTTCTCCTCTCAGAACAAGAGTACTTACTTTAAATGAGACCAAGTCAATAGCCTCCCCAGAAGCCAGAGCCTTCTATCTCAGTATAAATCCAAATCCCTAACCGGGGTCCATGATGGCCTGGCCGAACTCTGCATCCTCCTTTGTTGTCACTCTCCTCTGGCACTCTGCAGTCCAACTCCATGCTCTTCTTGCTGCTCAAGCAGGTCAAGCCATCCTGCCTCAGGACCTTTATCCCTGCTGTTCCTATGCCTGGAATGCACATCTGCCAGATCCTAAGATGGTTGGCGTTCTTCCCATTCAGTTCCCTGATTAAAAATGATCTCCTCTGAGGCTTTTCCTGACCACCTTAAATAAAAGAGGCCATCTTCCCATCCAGGCACTCTACCCCCATCTTGCCTACCTTTTCTTTCACATCACTAAACACAATCTGTAATTATTTGGTTTACTATTATTAGTTGTCTTTCTGTCTCTGTAGGATGTAATCTCCATAAGGAACAGGGAGTTTGTCTAGCTTGCTCACTGTTGCATCCCCTTGAGCTAGGGCAGTGCTTGAATCATTGCAGGTGTTAAATATTCCTCAAACGAACAGATGGATGAAAGTCAGATGACTAAGGTGTTACTTCTATGCCCTGCACCTTCTCTCAGCAAGCCTCCATCTTATGAGAAGCAACTGGCCAAAGTGCCCCCTGTTGCAGTTGCTAATTACCAAATCTGCATGACTATCACTATTAACGATTCACATTCACATTAGGGCTTTATGATTTTCTATGCAGTTTTCTATTTTTATTTTGGACGACACTCCCAAGAACATTCTCCCATTTTATGGGGGCCCCAAGAGGTGGCACACGGCTGAGCCAGTCCTTGGTCCTAGTTTGGTTGCAGAACCAGTGATATAGGGCGCCTGGGTGGCTCAGATGGTTAAGCATCTGCCTTCAGCTCGGGTCATGATCCCAGGGTCCTGGGATCAACCCCCCCCCCCCCGCATCGGGCTCCCTGCTCCGCGGGGGGCCTGCTTCTCCCTCTCCCTCTGCTTCTCCCCCTCCCTGCTCATGCTCTCTCTCTCTGTATCTCTGTGTCTCAAACGAATAAATAAATCTTAAAAAAAAAAAAAAAAAAAACCAGTCATATAGATGACTGTCCTCGCTGGAAAACCGGCCTCTTGCAAGGGCTGCAAGCGATCACCCCTGACTCCTCTGACTCGGCTGACAGGGCGGTTCCTCTGGTCTTCTGGACGTCAGTTCCCTGGCTGAGGGGCTTCCCTGACCACCCTAAAGGGGGCTCCGTGACCAGGCACGACCACGTCCGCAGTTGCTAGGACCCTCTTTCGGCTCCGCTCCTGGGCCACCGGGTCTTCGCTCAGCGCTTGCCATGAGTCTTCGTCTCCGTTGCGCTCAAACACATCGCCCGCCACCACCACGGTGCCCAGGGCCGTGCCCGCCACCACCACGCTCACGTCCCGCTGGCCCCCATGGCCCGGCGTGGCCCACACCTCGAGCCCCGGGCCCAGCTGCAGGGGCCGCTCCTCACCTAGCCCGTGGGGGAGGTAGCGGCCCCCGGGGAGGCAGAAGTCGTGCGAGACCAGCAGAGCCGCCCCGGGAAAAAGCCCCAGGTTCCCGATGTGATCCGAGTGTCCGTGGGTGCCCACCACCAAAGTCACGTCTCCGGGGGCCACGCCCTGCCCCGCCAGGGCCACCAGCAGCGCCTCCCGAGCCCAGGGGCCGCCGGTGTCCACGAGAATGGGGCCACGGGCCACCTCCTCCAGGGCGGTCTTCGCCCCGCCGCCCTCGGGCGGGGACTCTCGGGTGCTGGAGGCTAAGCCCCAGGCCTGAGGCAGCACAAGCGTCACGGAGCCGTCGGCGCGTACCGCATCGTCGACCCCCTCCGGCTCGGCGTAGCCCTGCAGCAGGACCACCACGGAGTAGGGGTCGCCGCTCACTAGCAGAGGCGGCTCCCCGGGCAGCGGCTCGGTCCGCACCAGAGCGCTCATGGCAGGATCGGGACGGCTGGGGAAGGGAAATGGGGATGTGGGCGACTGTCCAGTCCCTTGGGGTTCCCACGTGCGCCCTGCCTCCTCCAAAGTAGCTCCTTCCAAGTCTGTTCTTTGCCACCCCCTTCGCACCCTTAAGATGGTATCGCCCCGACGCCCTTCCGTAGATGGTATCGTCCAAGCTGCCCTTAGCCTGAACCCGCCAGTCCCTCAGTGTCTTCGGCCGTCGCCACACTTCTCATGCGGTAGGTCCTCACCCATCATCCCCCAAAGGATATCCTCTTTGTTTCCCTCATTCTAACCGAGGCGCTCCCCGCCTTGGACGTAGTTTCAGCACTTCTCCTAATTCTTGCCTCACTCCATAGTTAGAGCCGCCCTCGGAGAAGCGCGCGACATTTTGTCCTCTGCGAGCTCCCGTAAACCCGGAGTACGGTGGCCGAGCCGACCGCGGATTTTTAATTCCGGTGCATTCTCCCGCACGCGCCGAGGCGGGTTGCACAGCCCGGCGCCTAGATGCTTATCAGCCGGGGGACCCCTGCCAGCCTCCCTGGACTGCAGATTACAAAGCACCATTAGCTTCTAACAGCCGGCGACCTACGGCTCTATTCTCTGGGCGCTGCTCTATCGGCCAGGTATGATGTGTGCAGGACAGTTGTTTGAAACTACGGGGCCAGGTGGTATTTAAAAAACTTTTTTTTACTAGCGCTGTAGAAAATTTGGCACCTGTGAAATTACATGGTCGGCCCTCGGTGAAATGAGTATGAAGTAGACGAAATATCTACCCCACCTAACTTATCAACATCGCCCCGTCCTCATAGTGTCCCCTTCTCGTTCAGTTTGTTGGCTTGTAGCCTAGACGCAGGCAGTGTGTGTAGGTTGTAGAGAATGTCCACGCTGCCTTCTTCTTGTAAGGGTCTAGAAACAGACCCCGAGGGCAAAGTGCCTTTCCCGAGACCCACAGCTCCAATGCCTTCACTGACCTCTGGGTGGGGTGGGAAGTAGGAGAGAGATTTAAAGGGGAAAGCTTTCAATACTGTCACCACACACACACCTGCCAAGTAAGGGGCCAGATGGCAGGCAGAGGACTCATCTGTTGGAGCAGGCCTCCCGCCTACTGCTCCCACCTTTGTCCCCATAGCCATGCCATGCTGCACCACCAAGATCCTGCCTGAAACCAGACAGCTACAAGCTCTGGGATGGGATCACTCACACATACACACACACCCTTATGTGGAGCAGGGAGAGCTCAGACTTCAGAAGGTTCTTCTCCATGACTCCTGCCCCTTCCTGGGGGCTCAAAGGCAAGAGTCAAAGGTCCTCTGGGTCATGCTTGGAGTGCCCTGGTGTGTTGATCATCTCTTCCTCCTCCTCCTCTTCCTCCTCCTCCTCCTGATACTGCTCCTCCTCCCCTTCTGTCTTCTCTTGCCTCTCCGTGATCTTCTCCTTTCCAGTCCAAGTTTCCTGTAGACACGCTAGGTTGGGTGATAGAAAACAATTTCGGTATTAATCTGGGGGGTAGAGGAGGTTGGGGCCTGGCAGGAACGGGGCCAGCCCCACACACTTACCAGTTTCAGCAGGGGGGAGCACATGACCTTCGCAGAGAAAATGCTGTAGGGGCTGCTCCTGATGATGGAAGTACCAGTCTCCCACGACATCCTCAAACTCCTCCAGCATCGTCTCACACTGATCAAGTGGAAGGGTCAGAAAGGCATCTACTCTGCTGGGCTTTGGAAACGCTCCTCTCTGCTCTTCACTCCTGTCTGCCCACCCCACCCTAAAGAGCAGGTAGCCAGGAGGCTAAACTTGGCGTCCAAGATGGTAATCCTCATTCATTCAACAAACATTTACTAAAACCTATTCTGCCAAGTAGGCTATTAAACTCTTGTGTCTCCACTCCTTGCCTATAAAATGGGAAATGGTAACAGAACCATTGTTCTGTTACCACATGAAGTTGTTGTGAGGGTAAAACGGGGCAGCAGCTGGAAAGTATGTGGGCCTCAATCTGGCACATAGTAGGCGCTCAGTATGTGGTAGTAGATATTATCAGCCTCCATTATTACTCCTTGATACGCTCCTGGGCCCACTTCAGTCAATGACAGAGTCTCACTCCGCCCCCTTCTCCTGCTCAGAGGCGGAATTCCCGAGGATCCAGGTCTCCCCTCAGGTTCCCTTCTCATTGCCCCAGGCAGTGCAGTATCCTGTCTTACCTGCTTCTTGAGGAACGTGACTTCCACGCTGGGCTCGTCCCATAGCTCCAGAGGGATCCCCAGATCCACCTTCACCCCCTTCTGCACCAGACCTTTCAGCGTTGCCATGGTCTGACTCTGACCCTGAGAGATAGGAATTCGGGATCAGCCCAGCTCACTGCCCCACCTCATCCTTCCCCTTTCTGCCACAGCAGCATTGTCAACTACCAGAGACTCCATGAGGGTGACATGAGGGAGTCTAACAATGGGGAGGGGACATCCTCCAGAGGTGGAGGGAGATGGGTCCCAGGGGATACCCGTTCTTGTTTCTGAAACGTGGGATGCTGCCCTAGGGAAGAGTCTGACCTTGGCATATCTCAGTGAGCCCTTGCGCTCGGCATGAACGCTGTAATCTAGGATCCGCTCACACAAATTCTCCAAGGCCTCTTCCAGCCTTGTCTCTCTGTGGGAAGAGGGGAAACAAAGGTTTCTTGGATGCTGTAGGAGCTCCCAGGGCTCCCTCAGGGGTCGGAAGGTAGATGAGCAACAAGAAGAACTCACGAGACACTGTAAGGGATGTGTTTCTTTCTCTTGCCAGTGTCTAGCACCTGCCCCAGCTCCAGCACCTCTCGAGATCGGCCAGTGTGACTCAGCTTTTCCTGTAGCTCCAGGCTCAGCAGCTTACACACTAGATGTCCACAAGGATGTGAAAGATAAACAAACATTCCAACAACTCATTCTGTAGATGAGCAAAAGCAGCAGACTAGAGCCAGACCGGCTGGGTTAGAATCCTGACTCAGCCACTTAATAGCTATGTGGTAATTCTGCTGTGTCTTGGTTTCTGCATCTCTAAAATGGAGATAACAATATAGTTGAACCTCCTTCATAGGGGTGTGGTGAGGATTAAATAAATCAACCTCTGTAAAGCCCCTATAATAGTGCCTGGCATATTGGGAGCACTGTATAAGTGTTTGCTTTTATTCTGCAGTTATTTATTGAGCTCATATACGCATGAGAGCAATAAGACCCATGATCCCTATCCACGGGACATTGCTGATGTAGTTGGGGACAGATAAATGATGACAATGTGGTGTGATGGGCCCTACCCTAGAGGTTCACAAGAGATTTAATCTCTTTAGGACATGCAAAATTCATTCAGTGGTCATTTACTGAATTGCTGCTAGCTTGTGATTTCCTTAAGGATGAGCACTGCATATGTTCCACCACTGTCTTCCAGCAACTAGCACCTGGCCTGGCATGAGGTGGGTCCCAAGAAAGGGGGTGGCCTTTACAGAAGTGCCAAGCAAGCTAAACACAGGGCAAGTTAACAAAAGTGCCTTAAATGTTCCAGGCACTATGCTAGGACCTCGGAGATACAGGTGCTCTTCTTCCCTCCAAGGGCTTACAATATAGTAGGAGGTGACAGAAAAGGAAGAAGGCTTCCAAAGGAATTGACATCTAAACTGGGTCTTGAGAATCAAAAACAGAAGGGAGGGGGTTATTTCAGGCAAAGGGAAAAAGTGTGCTGAGGCACAGAGTGCAAGAGGATAAGGCAGGCTCAGTGACAGCTGAGAAGTTCAGTGTGGCTGAATCATGGGCACTTTGAGGACGGGAGTTGAGACAGAAATACAAGAGCGATGGGGGCCATACAACAAAGAGACTTCTATGCTGTGCCAAAAATGGGTGTATTCTGACCACAGCAGGAGGCCTACAGAGGTGTTAGAGCAAGGAGGAGAGGCGAGGTAGGCTCAGGTCATGCAGAACACCAATACTGAAATGCAGGGTGGAGTGGGGTGAAAGGAAAAAGAGTCCAGGGAAGAAATTAAAGTCAGGAAGGCAACAAACTAGGGAACCAGGGAACTCAATGGCCCAGCTCTGAAGTGTTTCCCCCCCCACCCCACCCAGTCACCACCGTCATGCAGCCACATAAGATGCTGCTCACAGTAAAATCCGTAAGTACCCTCTGCAAAGCCTCACACGTATGGGGAACCTCCTCCATTTCTGTGGCCTCCTCTTTATGAGCTTCAAGGCCTTACTTACTTACCCCCAAACCCTCCCCAGGAAAGCATGGGACCTGTAATTTGAGAGCGTCCCTGCAAGAGTGGAGCAGAGGACGTTCATAAGGTATGAGCCTCACACCCAGCTCCTGCAGGCTTCCCAGGTTTAGGTTTAGTGTTATGGGGGGAAACACACTGAATGCTCAGTGGGTGGGTGATCCTGGGCAGCCTCTGAACTACAGTTCCCACAGATCACGGGCTACGCAAGCGAGAAAAAGAGGACTTCCTCTGAATGCCCTATGGGAATTGTAGTGCCACAGTTGTGGGGTAGCGCTACGCATTCCCTCCCTTGACCCCCTTCGAATTCAGCCAAGCTCCATCAGGATCTCCCTCAGGTCTTAAAGGAGATCGAGTGACCCACCCATCGCGGTCCATTTGGTCCGGTCCAGACTAAGGAGATGGGCAGAGGGATGCGAATAGGGGCCACTCCCTTTAGATACCTTCGCATTTGCTGGGCAAGCGTTCTGTGTCATCGTCTTCCTCCTTCGGCGTCCCAACCCAAGCGCCATACACAGCCAAAATGAAAAGCAACATTCCCAACCGCACAGGTCCCATGACAAAGTGCTGTCCACAACCAACAAGCCCTTGCCTTCAAACCAACTTCGGGAAGGCAGCGGGCCCTTTAAGTTCCGAGGGGGTCGGAGGGAATTTCCATCCAGCCTGGCTTGGGAGGCGCACGCGCAGTCCCGGTTCGGAAGGGGGTGGGGCCTCATTGCGCTCCCGGCTCTCCCGCTTCGGTTTTGCGGCGCCTCTTAGGGTCCTGGCCGCGGGGTAGCGAAAGTATAAACTGAAGTAATTGTAGCAGGAGGGTGTGCTTCTTGCACGTAGGGAGAAAAACCCGTTTTTTATACCACTTCACCTCGTGAGCCTAGGAGACTCATTCCGGCTCGGGGAAGGGGCAGTGACTTCCTCTCCGTCTCTGCTAGGACCTGCTCCCGGGAGGGGGCGGGGCCAAGATGGCGCCGAGCGCCGGGTGAGCGGTGCTTTGGCGGCGGTGAGAGACTTTTTCTGCGTGGGGCGTTCGGCTGGCGGGGGCGGGTCTGAGAGCTACCCGGGACTAGGCCCTCTGAAGGGCTTGTGTGGGAGCCTGGAGGAGGACGGTGGGTTGTGTGTCCGTGCGCTTGGGGACTCTGTGTGTGCGTGTGTGTTTGCATTGGAGGATGTTGGGGGGATGAGGTGGGCTCTCAGCGCCTTCTTCCGCGCTGTACCCATTCCTTGGGGAGCTTCGACTCGCTTCCTTGCTGGGGAAGCCACTACCCACATCTAGTTAAAGGTAACCCTTTTCTGTGAAGTTTTCCTGCCGGCTCCACTGACCTGAAGGTGTCCTGAGGTCGTAGCGTGTTTTGCGAGCTGTTACTGGC